TTCTCATCTCATAATGTTTCATACAATCTCTACTAGGGGCCTTTTTAAAAAAATTGAAAAGATAATGGCTCATAGATCATAATTATGTTACCAGTGCCTTAATAAAATTATAATGCTTCTTACTCAAACCTGTCCAATGTAAAATAAATACCGGTATTCCTACAGAAGTCTATGGTATGTTTATTCTTCAAACATGAAGCAAAGTTGACATAGTAACAAAACAGCATCTAGTATTCAAGTAGGATGAAATGGAAGTAAAGATTAATTGAAAATGATATTCAGACTATTTTCTTGAAGTTTGTTAACCTGATTTTTGAAAAATGAGGCTGAAATTTGATTTGACATGACGATACAAGTTGGAAGGAATGTCATCCTGTCTGTTTAATCTATTGTGACAGTAGAGGGAAATTATCTTGATTGGTCTGTTGAAATAATGACTTCAGATTTCTATTAGAATTCTATTGGCTCTGATATTGCATAACAATAATATTAAAGGGAAATGAAAAATATTGGGTTTCTCAAAAATGGTCAATAACTGTAAGATTTGTACAAGCATCCTTTTAACAGTTAAATTTTGAAAAAGAGATATATAATGCCACTGATGTAGAAATATTTCCTTTTTTGCACACTTCATGGAATTGTTTTCATTAGCCCAAAACAGCAACGAAAAATATCTATCCCAGATGACCGTTGGAAAAGATGTCTGCATTACCTTCATAATTAACCTATACAAATTGATTACAGACTTGTGAGACGAACTGGTATTCAAACACTTCTACTTGATTAAACTAGCAGTCCAATAATGAAATATATATACATAGAAATAATGAAAATAAGGGAACCCATAAAGAGATTTATAATTGATGTTATCTTGCACTATTTGTCTTGGGGAATGTAGAGAGGTTTTATATGGTAGTCATAAACTGATGACTGAAGATATATATATGATATAATATAATCTTTATTGCAACATTTTGCACCATTTCTGGTCAAAGGCAATACATAGAGTAACAAGTATAATCACATGATAGAAATTAACATAATCAAGTAGAAATTGACAATACAATAATACTATATAGCAATAGAAAATGTTCAAGTAACAAAATTTGTTTCCTAATATATTAGAGCCCTATATTATGCACAAAGAATAAGGAACTTTGAAAAACTACTGTGGTCTAACAAAGAGTAGCTAAGCTGCTATTAACAGGACCTGGTGGCAGAGATTCCTGCAGGAATATTTCCTCTGCAGAATATCTCATTATCTGGTCCTGAGTTATGGTAATTTTACTGTCAGCTGGAGTCTAGTTGTGAAATTCAGGTCAACTTGAGGTCTGTATTGATCTTTTCTCCTGTAATCCTGCCACTGATTATACCATCATATGTTTAATTTGTATTTCCACATTCTGTTTTGAAAAGGTAATTGAAATTAGACTTGACAGCATAATAGTTTTATTGCGTTGTCTATTATTTGAAAAATTGCAACATAGTTGCACTATAGAAATAAATAGTGGGTAGGGTAGGTTGAACTGAATGGCTTATTTGTGCATATTGCTGAACCTGATGTAATGGAAGGGGGAGGTATTATATTTTGTAACTGACTGTCTAGGGGTTCAATTAGAACATATACATTCTGTACATAATGTCCACAATGGTGGGTTTGGTGTTCCCTATTAATAGACATCATGTAACTACCATTTCACCATGTCTTCTACTAAATACAAACTTGCTTAGAATAGGATCCAGACATCTATGTAAGAAAGGCTTTTTAGCTTAATCTCTTACCCTAAGAATGTTTATTCATGTATCAATGATTTACAAATCCTAATGAAATTGAGTTTTAGTGAGAGAACAATTTTCACAAGCAAGTGCAGCAAATTTTGATGAGCAGTATGTCTGTCTGCCACCTGTGCTGCTCCTTCAACAAAAGTGTAGGGGTTCTGGGGAGGGGTGCTGCCCCTGTGGTAACATCACTATTCGCGAGAAATTGATAGGGTGAACTGTTGCCCATGTGGTTCCCTCATCCCAAGTTTATATCAACATTTCATCTTATTGATTTGCAGAGACAATATCCACAGGGTGACTAAAAAAAAAAAATCAAAAAAAGACATAAACACTGATTAAAAATTTGAGTTAGTGATATTTACCAAAATAACAATTTCAGATAGGAGAAATTAAACTTGATGAACTGTGTATTATTATTATTTTATGAGTTAAAATTTTGATACATAAATATTGTCAGTCTAGTGGCAGATCAATAGTGTAATAAACAAACTGATAGGGATTGTTTCACAATAACTGATTGTATCAAGAACAGTTGTTTTATCTTATTTTCACCTCTTGACTGAATATTCATCAAGTTTGATGAGTTTATTGACAGACCAAACCTACTGTACTTATGTCAATGGCAGTTGGTAAAATTATAATGTTTTTCAGTCTCAGTAGGGAGTTGCATGTAACACATTGTTATAATTTCAAGCTTTTACATGCTGCGTCTCATACCTTGATTGCAATAACTACCTTTAATGTAATTTGTAAATGTAGTCATTTGAATGGATTGTACGCTAGTGATTACAGCCAATCATAGCCCCTGATTACATGCGTAGCCAAATTGTTTACAGTCTTTCTGTGGAGGACTCTATTGTCTGTGGTAATGGACTTGCTTTTTTTTTTGCACTCTAATAAGGCTTGATAAGACTAAAGATTGCACTTATCAAAACCATGTTGTGTTATGAGGAAGATAAGTCAATGACTCCATTTTGTATCACAGCTGCTTGTAAATGCAGTGAAGGATTTCTATTGCTCGATGTGGCATTGGCTTATTCAGAGTGTTGATGTATGATGAATAGGTGTTTCCTTTTCAGTGAGATTGTACCTGGGAACCTCATTGTTTGAATTTAATCTTTAATAGCTGAAGATTAAATACCATGGAAATATACCTTATATTATGTCTAAATAGAATAGAGAAACTCATTAGAGATTTCTTTGTACTGTTGAATATTGATTGACCTAGATTGATAATACATCTTCTAGTCTAATTCCAACCTTCTAATCAGAAGAGTTCTACTCCATCCTCCATTAGCTTTATCATTGCTGGAATAATGATTTTAACCAAGGATGCTTATATTGATGGAAATCCTGTGTAAGTTTTATAAGAATTTGACCGGACTGTTGAAAACAATAGAGTGGTAGAATGATTCCGGCAGCACTGGAAAAGCATTACATATTTGAACTTCTTAACATAACTTTTTTTTTTGGTGCAAATTGGATGAAAATATAACCGACCTCATTGTATATTATTTATTACAAAATATTCACAAAATATTCAATTCTATTGCCAATCATGTGACACATTTTACTGAAATTCAATCCAAATTTTCAAACTTGAAAATTCATAGAAGAGTTGAAGAGATAGTAATGAGGTTCCAAATGTTTTATGTGTATCAAGGACACTGATATCATCATCATTCCAATTTTCAGGCAGACTTCTGTGGTTCCTGCAATTCCATTAAATGTGAGCATTTTATGACATCACTATCGCAAAAGCTGCTATTGATATGATGAAAATCAATGCTATCAGTGTCCCCGATACACTTAAAGTTTTATAAAACCTTTTTACAATCCCTTTAAAGTTTGTTAATTATGATCATCCACTATCAGTTTATTTATATCAAAATAAATGTTTAAAGTTTTGGGGTTTAGATTTTGGATATTTAAATTGTTTTGTGTATAAATGAAAGAAAATGAAATCTCAGTTTTTCTGGGTCAGCAATATAATACAATGTGATACTAAATTAGTATAGAAAATAAAATCTTTGTAAAAGAAAGTAAGTAGATTATTTGACTCTCATAACTTGTATACTTATTATAAGGCTTTAACAGATGTAACAATAGATCTTGTATTACTAGGTAATTCCAATACTGACCAATAATCAATTGACCTAATTCTTGTCATTTATCTAGGTCACATACTTGCACATAATTTTGCTTATTGAAGGGAGATAACTCCAGTTTACTCTGCTAACTTTCCAAGTAATGCAAGTATGTTTTAGAATGAGAAATTATCTGGATATTTTTTTATCATTGAAGTATACTTATGTAAGCAAGGACACTTAGTTTTAGTGGAATTGTAAGAGTCACAGATGTCTAAATGAAAATTGGAATGGTGCAAATTGATATTATCAGTGTCCTCGATACACATAATTTTTTTTAGAAAACCTCTTTATAATCCCTTGAATAAACATACATATCCCTTTAATATAAGATTATCAGTATTAAAATTCAGAAAAGGATGTGCAAGTATTATCTTCACAGTATTATCAGTGTATCTGTTATATTTATGTGAATTGAAATGTCAGTGAAATAACATAGCAAGGTTTTTATGAATGCAAGGTCATCATAAACCATATTGTAATTAAACAGTATTAATTTAGTGTTGTTCTTGAAGTCGTGATAATACTTCTCTTGGTTTCTGAAGGACAGTGATCTCATAATTCTGTATGAATAATGAGATGTAAAGAAGCCCAATGTAATGAGTTTGTTAATTAGGTAGACTGATTGTGAATGACTAGGAAGCCAAAGAAACTTTTATTCCATTTCTTGAAGCCTGTTATTGACCACCTTAGGGATACAGTCATGGAGTTATTCCAAACTTTCATTCATTTCTCCCCTCTCCAACACTTGGATTTCATGATGTGAACAAAAGGTGCATTCAGTGGGAGTTCTTGAAAAAAGACTCATTGGAGAGTAATTCTTTATCAATATAAAAACCAAGCATTATGTTTTTGAATTTGAGCCTCTTTTAGGAAATCATAACCATTGGTATATTTGTTATTAAATCAAAGATATTAACTGATAAAGCTATACAAGTGTATTGAAGTATTTATATTAATATTATTGTAAATTATGTCCAAATTTTAAAGCACACAAATACAGACGTTCTTAGTGCCCTGTCAAAGTTTTAAGAATCATTTATTGTATTTTTATTGTATTGTATGTTTCAGGTAAAATGGATGATGTATTGGATTGTATTTGCCTTATTTTTATGTGTAGAAACTTTCTCTGATGTATTTATATCATGGTAAGTTTTCAGTCATTCTGTTTATATCAATTTTATTTTTACATGCCCACATCTATTATACGGTTTGGTTTCACAGTACCGGTATTTGAAATTCTGTAATGTTCAGATGATTTCTTAATTTCATAGATTATTAATGGACTAGATTGAGTTTTGTCTTTAAAATGTGGAATCAAGTTCATTATTTTAATTTAATATTTTTCGTAAATGCTCGGTATTTTTTCAGGTTACCTTTTTATTATGAAGTAAAAATAGTTTTTGTGTTATGGTTGCTGTCTCCCATTACAAAAGGCTCTAGTTTTCTATTTAAAAAATTTGTCCATCCACAATTAGCTAAAAGAGAAAAGGTATGTGTCATGTCTTTGACTATATGAATAATACCAATACTATAGGTGCTTAAGGGTATAGCAGTCTTAATTTGCCTCAAAAGCCAAGAGATCTCAATATCCGCTATCCAGATATCTTTTCATAATTGAAATCCAAAGTCGAGTTTCCTAAGAATTCTACAAAAATTTACATTAGAGGTTCAAACAGATACCTACTTGCTTGCCTAGGCCTCCATAGTTCAACCCCCGCATAGGTTGAGATAGCAACTTTGGATTTTTCAACCAGCTTTCCTCTGTCAGTGATGGAGGTTGGTGGAGCTGACAAGCAAAAAAAACTGAGTCCCTGTGTGCCACAGATGTTACACATTAAAGATGACAATCGTAAATCAACAAAGAACAGCTTAATTTATTGTCAGTGTAAAATCTCCCTCATTGGACACTCCATAGTATTGCCTGACTTTGATACCTCTAGCAAGAACATAAAGTAAAAGTTTATTTTATTTTACAATTGCAGGATATAGATGAAATGATAATACAAGCCAGTAAACAAGGCTACTCTACCTTAGTTAAATTAAGTAGTAGGGGTATTTCCTATGCAACAAATGTTTTTATGAAAACTGCATTGACAGTAAGTTCAGTTATTTATATTTTCAACCTTGATATTATTTAAGTTATTTCATCTAAATATGACTCTCCTTGTGTCTGGATTGAAAGATATGAGTATAAACTCCTGAATACAATGTAATATATGAGTATGCCCAAGATCCAAAATATTGATTTAACCTGGATGCTATTTCTTAAGCTGTGATGTTTTCAGTTATTGAAAGTGATAAGCCAATTCAGAGATTGGTTTGCTGTTATCTAGTGCCTAATCATATCATTCTTTGAGTACCTTTGTTAATATTTTGTTATGTTTTTTGTAAAGGCATTTCAAATACATAAAACAACCAGTCAACATTGGCCCTTATAGCCCACCAGTTCTAAAGACAATTTCTAATTTCTAAAGCTAACTATTTTCAGGGACATGGTAAACTAGTAGATCATCTAAGACGTAGTTATAGTACTAGTGACCTATCAGATGATGGTACTGGTCTGTCTAGGTCTAGAGAGATGCTAGATGATTATGAAGAAGATGAAGATGAATTAGGTATGTTTGGTGAATACTAGTGCTGGCACAATCTATAGATGAATTGATACATCGTATTGAGAAATGAAACGATCTGAAAGTTTAATGATCTTTCTTCATTATTCAAGTCTACCCAACTGTAAATTGGAATGGATAAGATCCATGCCAAGAGGATTAGCAAAGGACTAGACAGGATTTTCTTGAACCTCAGTTGTCATTGTATAATGGATGTTAGTTTCTTCTTTTTCTGTGTGTCTTGCATCTACTTTTTAAACATTGAAACTTATCATAAATGGTATTAAAAGTTAGATTTTGTGCTTGAAAGGTATTTGATTTTGATACCAATAAAATATGTCTGTTTAGTAAATTTACTTTCTGGATATCCCTGAACTTATAATAGTTGATAGCTCTGTCTATATTACAGATAACAGACTATATGAAGATAACAGAGAAATCGAGGCCAGAAAAGAAAGAAGAGTTGTCAAAACAAGTGATAGTAAAAAAACAGAAAAATCAGTCAAAATGAAGAAAGGAACCAGTACCAATGCAGGTAAAATATATAATGTTAAAAGTTGCAAGATTCTTAACTGATAAAAGATAGTCAATGCTGATTTCCACAAGTCACTGATTCAGGTAAAAGTCATTCTGGGGTTGACTCCACTTGCCATGCATGATCTGACAAAATAGTTGTGTATGTCCTGTTCTAGGTTGTTTAATATTCAACCAATCACATGCTCTGTTGCCTGAGAGATTTCTTTCTCCTATGTGAGGAATTCTGAGATATTATATTATTAGTTATATTAGTTATATAATTTGAAAGATTGTGATTTGCAATATTACTTCAAGTATGATTTTTTATGTATCTTAATGATATAGAATTAACAAGTGTTATGGAAGTAGATGAAGATGATGAAGAAGTAGTTGTTACAGAGGAAATAACCTATATACCAGTGACTAGAAAACATTATACACATAAAGAGGTAATAGTCTCTATATATTCTAGGTATTTTTCTACGACTGGCACATATATAGTTGTCTGTAATATCATTTACATACATATATGTATAATTTTAAACTAAGATGCATGAAACTGACATAATCTTCCCATTGTAAATACCACTTTTCGTTATCCCTTAATTCAATCAATTAATCCTACTTGTATTTTTGTATATCATTTATTATTTAATCTTGTCAATCCTTTCGATTTATTTAAATCATAAAATCACTTTACGTGTTGTTGGTGGAATCATTGGCTTTTCCCTTTATGTCCTTACTGATAAGACTTAGTTAAAATTAGTTTAACATACAAGTTTCCCTATAGCCATGACAATTTATTTTGCTTGTATTATTTGAATATGATATTTATTTTGGGTATTCTTTAAGCAAAATCAGGACACCAAAAATAAGGTAGACTATAACTGTAGAAATATTTTACATTGGGACAGTGTGTATTGTACATGGCTTGTGTGGGCTTTGGTGGATACAGTTGGGTTGACTCAAAGCTTGTTTAATGCAAAATTCAATCTGAATATGAGTTTAGGTGTTCAGAAACTCAGTGAAACAGAAGGTGAAGGGAGGGCTTTCAATTAAATTACACCAGACTTTCGCTCTGATTTTCTACTAGCTTTTAATTTTTAATATAACCACTTCAGATAGGGTCAAAAGATGGCCTTTTTGAACACTTGTCTATTCAATGACACAATCTAATTTATTCCCTCTCCAACACTGGGATTTTGTGACACGAACAATAGAGGCATTCAGTGTCTTCTTGGAGTGCACCTTTTGTTCATGTCACAAAATCCCATAAAAATGTTCAAGAGGCCTATCATTAGAAACAACTGAATTGAAAATTAAAAATGGTAGAAAATGAAAGTATGGTCTAAGTGTAATTAGACTGGTCCTATAGGAGCTGTAATTTATCTTGTATCTTTTGTGTGAAATACAGTGCTGAGAAAATTGAATATTATGATAAAATATTTTTATAACTACTCTGATCTTTTTACTGATCAAGTTTGTATCCAAAAACACAAAAACAAAGTAAAAAGTTAAATAACTGTAAAATAGACTATAAATTTCTTAATTTCCTCAGCACTGTTTGTTACTGTGGCAATATAATTTGATTGGTTACTGTGTTGTGTCTGTGTATTAACTGTTGTTTTATTAAGTTTATATTTTCTGATTATTCTAGCCATATAGAATGCCGGCTCGTTTTAAACGTAGATACAGTGAGGGTCAGATATATCATCAGTCTAAATCTAAACCATCATAAACAACCATCTCTACTCCACATCTTTATACAAACAGTAATAAACTCTGCATGATTCTCAACTTTAGCCTCAATACATGCTTGTTTTAGATTCGATCAAGAGTTTTAAGAGTTTTAGTTGGTGTTAAAATTGATAGAAATTGAGATTTGGAGATTAGAAAATTAACTAGAACAGGTGTCCTATTCACAAAAACTTTACTTGGAATGAGTTTAAATTTACTTGTATTAAATATCAAATAATAGTAAATGTAGGTGTATTTTGAAATATGAATTATAGTTATGTTTTTGAAGATGAGGGCCTAAAGCATGTAGATATAAGGATTGGAGAGGGAAAGAGGGGACTTGGACTTAGCTTACAAATCAATATGAATTTAACTATAGTGCAGCACTATTTACCATCTATAAAGATCCACTTTGTTTCTGGATTCTTAATTTACCAGGTTTTTTACTGACATTTATGGAAGAAAAATATCTTTAAAGATGGGTTTCCTTATATTTTGGTGTCAAATTAAGTCACTCATTGGAAATCTGTTGGTAATTCTCCACTAATTTAGCTAATTATGAATTAATTATGGTCATGTGAGACATACTGATATTTTTCCAAACCTCTACTTCCTATTCATATAAGTATTAGCATTTTCATTTTCATATATATAAATAAGGAAACCCATCTTTAATAAAGTTTTCAGGTATATTTTTTGAAGACCCTCTCATACTGCCAAATCCTGCAAATTAGCATCCATAGTTTTTTTTGTGTGAATTCTGTTGATCTGGTTTGAATAGTGTTTTGAGCTTGGTTTATTCGGGGTAAAAAATTTATAAAATGTCTATTATGTGTTTATTTCAGAATAGGTCAAACTTTTATGAAACAGATTTATAGCTATTTCTCAGGTGCATTTTTAATTTCAGGAATGTTTTTTATTTGTCAGGGTAGTCTTCAATTTCTCGAGATTCAGATAAATTTCCATTCACTATTATTATTTTACTAAATGAATGCAGATATCTTGTACTGGTGCAAGCTATAAAAATGTTTAGATTTGGTTCATTTCTTTTGAATAGATTGATTTCTTTTTTTGTTTTGAAATTTAGAGCTTAGGTCCTTCATATTTGATAACTCTTTACAATAACTTAATTTAAAATACTAAATTCAGTTCATCCTCTGATCTTTTCTCATCTTCTTCTGACAGGATTTCCTGATATTTCTTTCTATCCTGAGTGACAGTTTCTACATCAATGTCAATGATCAGTAATTAGGTTTCATACAGGCCCTTCCTCCGAAAATGATATTTTGCAACTGACTGATACCATTAATAATATTTATACATATTTCTCTCTTAGACAATGTTTTTCTATGGTTCAAATGATTCAATTATTGATAAATAACTTTTATTATTTTGTGTGCAGTGCAGTGGGGGCTTGGTGTGGTTTTGGAATTAGCTTTTTAGTTTATAGAAATATTTAAAGTGACATGCCTTCGTTCAATGCTTTGTAGATTGGGATGGAATCTATAAACCACAATAATTAGACTTGCAGTTCTAGTTGTATAATGTTTATATTTTAATAACTAAAGTGAAAATCTTTATTTCAAAAACATCTTTCATTGATATCAAAGATAAACTGATATAGAAGGAGAAGAAGAAGAGTGTGTAATGAAGTCTCTTCTTATTAACATGTACAATAAAGTATAGAATAATTATTTTGATAGTGTAGTTTACACTGTTAATAATCAAAGCAAAATTTAATTGATTTGTCATTAAGATATATAAATTATTTATGGACAGTCATATGTATTTAGAACAGAGCATTAGTTTCTTATTTCAAAGGAAGTATAGTAATACATGAGCAATACACAAAACTCTCATTGTTGACAAGCATGTACAGTCAAATAAACAATGAATTGTACATTCAGCTCTGATTGATAACTGTGTAAACTGCCTTTTATGAATTGTTGTTCAATTGATTTTCAGATACTACATAACTTTGCCTAACTTTTCTTTCTTTTTGTCCATTCCAGCAAAAACAGATAAGCAAATATGGAACATTACCAAAATCATACGGACGAACAACTAGAAGCACTAGAAAACCTGTACATAAAGAATTTTGAGAGGAATTGTTGTATTTATAGCTTGACCATTCTAAACCAGGCTGTTTAAAAACTGCACATGTATTGATTATTTACAATACATTGTACTTGGCATTGTATTCAGTAACACCTTGATATAATTTATATTATGAACAAAGCACCTGAGACGTGTAATCATACACAGTAATGTAACAGCATTAGCAAGGGCTTGGCTTTATATGCATTATATACACTCTTTACTTTCACCTCGAGATCATACTGAATTGGTCTGCCAAGCATTGCAGTTTGAGCATTCTAAATAAGCCTAAGTTTTTATGGTCAAGCTATGCTATTGTTTTAAGGACTATATGTACAATATAAAACTGCTGTAATAAGTCCTAACCTAACATGTCTTTCAAACTAATAATAGATTTTTACTTCATGTTGTGTTGTGATCACAATAGATGGCCCAGTCATATAGATTTTAACCTCAGTCAAGTTTGAAAGGATGAAGTCGTCTCTCTTTTTTCTTAAACTTGACTGCATGATGTTGTACATCCAAGTAAACTAATACCTAAGTTGTGACTTGTTTATTTTATTGTGAGACTAAAAACCTGCACTTTATTCTAGAAACCTTAAATAAGATAAAAATCCAGATTTTAAGAAATACATTAATCTGATTGGATAATGAAACAAAATTTAAAAACATAGTGATTGACCAATCAGATGATTGCAGTACTAAAATCATCTTAAGTTAAGCTTTCCAGAGTAGGTCCCAGTGCATTACTTTTAACATATCTTAAAAAGTTTAGACTACTAAAACCAGTGATTTTCGATTTCTTTTTTCCTATTTCCTTAAGATATGTTAATGTGAGTAACAAAATGAATAGTAATATAAACCTGTAAGAGATATAAATGTCCGATCAAAGCTGTAGACAGCTGGATTAAAGGCAAACAAGATATTGATTTGGTAGCCCTATTAAATTGTTGGTTTGTGAAAACGATAAGGTGTTGCAACACAATTTATAAATACCAATGTTACACTAAGATCACTCAAAAGACTTACGCCATTTTCACGTCCGATCAAAGTCATGGACAGTCGGAGAAAAGCGAACAAGATCTCGACAAGTCATTCAGTTGCCCTATTAAATTTGTTGGTTTTGTGAAAACAATTAGCTGTTGCAAGATTTACATAGGTTGAAAATTTTTACAGGAAATAGTTATGTACAAAGCAAATATTTTATTGATTTAGATATACTACATCCCTATTAAGAGTGTCTTCTATAGATTTGATTTGCAGAAGGCTATTAAAGGGAAGTAGAAGAGGCATTTTTTTTCGATAACAACCGTTGCAATCTAATTGATATAAAGAATCTCTACGAAAATATATATTTTAAATAAGAAACCAGTTACTTGCAAATAGATGTAGAGTATTGCTAGGCAATGTACATTGTTTATAAGGTAGGATAATTCTGCCAAAATTAATATGAACAGTAAGATGCTTAATAAGCGTAAGTTGTTATTTTGGCTAATTAGGTTGTATATCTAGTATTATATGATATTATTTATTAGCCTACAGTTTATTGGAATTACATTTGAGATTCCAGAGTCTTTCAATGATATGATAAATATTTTTGGTAGACCTTGTACATTGTGAAGAACCCATAACTGTTGTAATCCATGAGTAGAAAGACTACTAGGCAACAAAGTTTAAAAAGAAGTCAAATAGCCACCTTGGATATTTCATTTTCAAGATGAAAATAATTTATGGGCATATAGGAAAATGGTGGTTATTTGCAATGTTTCGATTTCTACTCAATGTACATAGCCTACCAAATATGTAATTGTAAAAATAAAATATATAGTTTTATATTGCACTGTATAATTACTGCATAATGAAAGTAAAGTGTATAGTATATGTCTCACAATGTTTAGGGTATGATGATATGTTATTGGTTTAATATGTACATATATATTGTATAGTCCACTAACCCAAATACTGGAATAATCTTGATTATATGCTGAGTCTCATTACTTGCAATTGTCAAAAATCGTAAGCGCATCCTGACAACAGAATTCTAATTAAAGATTGATTTACAATTTGCAAGCAATACGATCTAGTTGTTATAAGAGTATTGTAAATAGTTCCTACCTAATATTAATACACCATTGTTAATTCAATATGAGTGGATGAGGATTGTTTTTTTACTACCTTTTAGTTCACCTTCCCTAGTAGAATTAGTTTTGGGTTTGGATATATTTGAAATTCATCTGATTGATACTTTGAAACTTGATAAGAATTACAGTAATTTGATTGGTCAGTGAAGACAAATTTAAAGTGAAGGTTAGTAATCGACCAATGAGATTATCAGAATGAAAAACCATAATCATCTTGGTTAAGTTTTTCAAGTATAAGGTCTCATAATATGTATGATTGGTTTATAAAAATTTTGATAGGAATATTATTATTTTTGAAGTGAATTATTTATGTTAGGTATATAGAAATAGAGCGTAAACTTTTTGTTATTTCTCAGGATTATAATTGCATTGAAAACTTTCTCTAACATTCCAAAAAAATAAGTCAGCTTTTCAACTTTCACAAAAAACATAAATTTTTCTTTTCCATTTTTTTTCTCGTCAAATTCAAAATTTTGACCAATTGTCATACATTTAACATGAAAAACAATTCAAACACCTAATTTTTTCTCCATCCTCAGTTTTTGTGGATTGAATTTTAAGTTTTTTAGTTTGATTTTGTTTCTAATTTTGTTACTTTGAGTTAAGTTTGATACTACTGAAGCATGAGTTTTGAGTTTTTTGATCTGAAGTGAGAATTGTCCTTGGTGCCTTAAGCAATGTCTACCTTAAATCTTATGTTATTTCATTATTAATTCACATTGTAATTAAAATCTGATTACGGATTGAAACTGTCATTCTTTATGCTGATTGGCAGAAAAAATCATCAACTTGGTAACATTTTTATGATCTGTTCTGAAATTTGACCATAAATTTCTGAAAAGTAAAAATGTCCTAATGACATGAAATTGTTAACACTGGGAGCAGCCATGTAGATTCTTATATACCGGCTAATATATTCTGTGAAATGGTTGATTTTTGACACAATTCTTACAGATTATGCATTTCCAAATCGTAATAGTACTGAAATTAGGGTATTTTCTCTGGTGCTTATAACAATACCTTTAAAATACCACGGTTGTATCAAACTGAATGTCTTAGCTTATTGTAGTATATGTATGGAAATGGAAATGACATTGATATTGTTAATGAAAAACAACTGAAAATCCCCAGAATTTAGCATCTGACAAGACTGAGTGTGCAATTAATTAACAAGTGATCTATTAAAGTTCTTCCACATATTATCAGGTTTACCTTTGTATATTTCTCTTGATACCTAAATAATAGTATAACTACTTAATATTGCTAGTCTTCAGTTGATGTTCATTGTCAATGATATTCAAGAGAAATTGATTTTATTACTAGATTTGTAGTAGTAAGTTATTCTTTGATTAATTTCCATGACATCTACCAATGATCTTGAATATTCATGTTATATTTGAATAATTGATTTTTATTTTTGTTTAATGAAAGGTATGAATAAAAGGCAAGAATTACATGATTATAAAGCATGTAATAAGATAAGTTTAGAACAAATTTTTATTCTATTCAGATTATGCTTATGTGATCTGAATATATAAAAAAAAATTTAAATAAAGATTGCATATATTCTTTTAGATCAAAAATGAGTTAAGTCACCAACATAATTAAAAGTCTGAAACTCTAGTGTTGTTAGATCTGTATTTGAATCTGACTGTGTTTAACAGTTCAAATGTTGATATCATTTTGTAAGAATAGTAAAGTTTTGTGTAAATTTAAGTTCTTGAATATTTTGGTTGTGTAAGGTGTATTATTGCTCAGTACATATCATTATTGTAATTATTGTCTTGAGTTTCTCTCTGTATTATTATACTAACTCACACCATTGTATTTATAGCTTCAATTGATATCAACAAATACAAACATTTTTAAACAATTTGTGTTCTCTATTCATTTATTATTATTGTGGCACATCCAGGGACAAAAAATTCATCACAGGCAATCCATTGAATATGCACACAACAGTAACTCTGCTTCAATAAAGAAATGCTTGGACTGTTCTAGTTTCAGAATATGTGTATAATGCTTCAGTAACTCATTTGGAAAGTTACTGGTCTGGAAGCCAAAGATTTGAGTTTATAAGCCTTTGAAGGAAAGACCATTCCCTGCCTTCATCTTATATAAAATGTCCTGCTTCAGGTGTTAATTCTCAGTATGATTAAGAAAGACATAAGAGAGTATCCCCATGTCAGTGATGCAAAAATGAGTGACATACTCATAACCTCAAGGCCTGGGACTGGTTTCACAAAGCTGTTAACTTGACTGATTGCCAAGATATAGAGAGTATGTTTGTGCATGAATGGACTCAAGTGTCAGTTTAGTTTGTCACTGGTGTTGGTGGCTTGAATTCATCTTGTGAATAACCATTATGTTTTAATAAATCAATCAAACCATCATCCAGTTACGACAGGTCATAAACTTGTGATAATCGTAAGCTTTGCAAAACCAGTCATCACACTTCACTGTGAATCTCAAGGTAAACAGTGGAAACATACCTTTCAAACAGATGTGCCTGTCACCATACCACACCAATTCCCGTTCACTTTTACCAGTAGAAAGAAAGAACAATATTCAGTTTCGAAGTTTGTTTTTGTACAAATTTACAAAGAATATTTATAAGCACAAAAATAGAGCTTTGTTACAATTTTAGTTTAACTTAAAGGTTTTAAAGCTTTTACTCATATTCATATTTTGATAAGATTTTGGATTGTTTACTTTGCCAACTCAATCTTAAGCACTACCATATTAATCTTAATAAACCTTTGGCATCATTGAAAAATTTGTCATTAACTTAATGTAATAATGATAATTTCTGTGTCATGATAAAAGGAGGACTCTGATTTGAAAATGATCATGATTTAGCACTTAATGTCCGGAGACAAACTTATGACAGATGCCATGATTTGAGGATTATGGGAAGGAAAGTTCTTTCATGAAGATACTATACTTTTGGATGTCACTTTTTTCTAACAAAAGATGGTCGAACATGAGTATGTATAGTATATATTATAAGGAACCTTATTCACAAATTTGGTATTAAAATGGACCAAAATGAATTCTCGAAGGAATTCTTTAACATCCATCAAGTTATAATTAAGATGTATATATAGGTCTTGTATTCTCTGCTAACAATGATGATAATGATATATATACAATGGTGTATGATTAAAATACAAGAATTATGTTTCTATGTAGCTATAGAGTTTAACATCTCTGGCGGTCGTGAGGCTAGAGTTGGTAGGGATTGAACAGTTGAACTGGATATTAACTGACTGATTTGACTGGAGGTATCACTACTACTAATTATAGTTCCATTTTCATTCTGAAATAAACAATAAAATTAGTAGACTTGATACAAAATTAACATACACATACCGACAAAATTTTCTATTTTTACCAGCGTATTCAAAGCTATCCATTACAGTTGAAATTTCCTAGACATTGATAAATTTAATGATGAGCAAAAGACATCATGGAAGAAAAATATTGGCCACAAATAATAAAACAATGTATTCCATAATGGAATAGTGAATGCTGATGTACATTGAATATCTTGAAATATTTACATCATTGTCTAAGGGTAGTCTTCAACTAAATAAAGCATTTCAAAAAAGATACAAGGGGTCTTTCGTTCTTGAAATAAATATAGTGGATAAAACAGTGTAGAAAAGAAAGAGTTCTAACGTAATCTTGTTATTTAGATGCTGGCCCCATTTGGCTTAAAAAACACAAGCAAAAAAGATATTTACCATTTTTTGCTCTGAATAATTCTCATTGGGCTGACCAGGTTGACCCACAAAAACACCACCTTGACCTCTTGACCTTTTTAAAGCATGCTGATGACGAGATTCATATAAATATTTCTGAAAACATACAATATAATGACATTAAAAGCTTTCAAGTACTAAGAAAGCTAAGATTAGTTGAGTCTGGGATGCATCCACAAACAGACATTATATTCTGAATAAATTTCCTTGTAACTTTGGTTGATTTAGCCTTTCTGATATATGAGATTTCAGAGGAGCATCCAACATTATGTGGCTTAGCTTTTGTTGATCAAATCTCACATGCCCGCAATATGACTTGAGATTTTAAACATGTGCCTGAATTACTCACAGCAAAACTAATTTAGATTATAAACATTAACTTACAGATCTTTCTCTGGGTATTCGACCAGTAGCCTCTAGTTTAGCTCTAGCCTGTCTTCGTTTTAATATTCTGTGATATTGTTTAGCATTAACATATAATGGTTCATCTCCAGATTCTGCTCCTGGCTTTAAAAACAGACGCAAAATAATTTAAGAATAGGAAAATTGAAAACTATATTCTAAAGCAAAATGAGTGGAATTGTTCATTTGTTCAGTCTAAATATAAAAATTGACGGAAATTAATCTCGAAGTGACATTTAGAAGTAGAGAAGTAGGTAGAACATTAAATAAATAAGAACACTATTAGGAATATACTACTCCTTTCTTTAATTTCTGCAATGTTTACTGTGTATATACTTGTTGTTCTGTTTTCTATCATTATCATTTTGTGCTTGATAGATTCCTGTATGTGAATTGAAACATTGCAGAAATTAAAGAAAGGAGTAGTATATCCATAATAGTGTTCTTGCTTATTGACTGAAATTGTTTAAAACTTGAATGCATCACACAACAAAAATTCAGATTTTTGAGAAACAGACTCTGTTCTGTTCTTACTGGACTAATAAATAAAATAATAATACGCTCTATATAGCAGAAATAGCAGTACTATTGATAGCAGGCCAATTAGCAACACTTGGCACTAGCTGCCTTTCAAAAACCTTTTTATGTAAGAGCCCCCAGCTGATCAAGGTTTCTCCTGCATCAGGTAAGTATCTTCATGACGTTAAATCAAAGTTCGAATATACATACCATAGGTAACTGTTGTCCCATTTGTTGTGAAGGTAAGTTTATCACTTGAATTCCTAAAAAATATAACAGAGGAAAATAACCAAATAACCAACGTCATTATAAAGATAAAATATTCCGATAATTTATCAATTATTGATTGGTAGCCTGCTGTCGTAAATCAAACTTAATCTTCAAAACTCGGCCTTTTTAACAGATATCAAACATTGGAAAAAATTTAAATTATTAGAACTAGTACACCATAAAATTGTGTTCCACTCTCTTGTCTCTCCTACTAAATGCTGCTTTAAGACCAACGCAGACGAGGAACATTTCTGTCGACGAACAAGAACATCGAACAAATATATTTGTTTTCCGTCATACGCAGACGACAAACATAATTCCGCAGACGACAAGCATTTAGCACGAACTGGCGACGTCCAGAAGATTATGTAAAATTGCGTTAGCTATCTTATTAATTTTAAAACAGACGCCAACGCAGACGGCGAAACAGGAGCATTTGGGTCCGTATGTGGATTCAACGTCGTAAAGAGCAGGGTGTGTTCGGCAACCTTGTAAATTTACCGGTTGTTTCCAGGGCTTGTGCTATTTCTTGCATTGCAGCATACTTCTTGTTCCTATGAGAATAGTCGGGCGAAGAAATCATTAACAAACATGCAGATTGCGACCACATATCTACTAAAATCTGCACCTTGTCCACAGTCCAAAAATTTGTGTTGGTGGATTCACTGGACGTTGCCATTTTGAGTGTCATGTGGTCTGGCGTCGATCGCTGATTGGTCTTGCATAGATAAATGTTTGGCGCTAATGTTCGTCGTCAACGCAAACGGCGAACAAAGAATTGTTCGGGAGGCGAACAATTTTAAAAAATCAAACATGTTTGATTTCACGAACAATTCTCACGAACATTTTTGTTTGTGTTGTTTGTGTTTCCATAATCTGCGGACGGTGAAAAAAATGATTGAAACAAAACGATTGTTGGCTTAAAATGTTCCTCGTCTGCGTTGGGCTTAAGGATTAAATAAATTTGTGATGGACGATCCTATAATATACCTTGTGGAAGTTGTACAGGTTTGTTATTAGCATCCACCAAAACAAAGGATGTCTGTCCATTAATAGTAACTTGGTTTAAAAACAACATCTGAGGAATACCAGGAGTACTACTAGTACCACTAGGCTGCTGTACTTGTACTTGTGTCTGTAGTACATTATTACCACCTTGACTTATTGAAGCATTCTACAATATAAAAATGAAGAAAAAAGTTGAATGAACCATAGCCAGAGCTCCCTGTACAGCAGTTAATGATTTACTGGGCTTTTTCCACAACACTAAATGAGAATTCTGACCAAAGAAAACTGGCAATGTGCAAAACAATATCAACATGCTAGTTCCAAGATATTTTAAACGGACAAGTTTGGTATCTTGACTCATACTTTGAGTGTCTTTATTTATTAGCCGTTAGTATATTTCATAAATAATAATGGTCTGGCCTTGTGTATTTGACCTAGAATAAAGCAATCTATTTACCTGAATAATATTTTGACCAGCAGAAACTACAACTGGTAAATTAGAACTGTTACTCTGTGTTCCCTGCACTGGTAAATTGGCAAATGTTGTACTGCTCTGTGTTGAAAATATCGATTGTGGATCTGACTGATTCTGTAAAAAGCAAATTCAATAAATATCAAATTTATCATATACAATAGAGGTTATATGAAGCAAGACACACGTGGAACAGGCAATTAACTTGTTAATTTTCTTAGTTTGCCTACACTTAAGAAACACTTACAGAAAATATGAGATTACTTAATTGAGGGCTGAGATCCTTTGAGTCTTTTTGTGGAATTATCAACGCATGCATATTTTAGTATCAAATTGCTTCAATATTAATTGATTCATTGAGCAAATTCTATAAATCAAGCAATCTAGTATGTGGTAAGTCACTTGTCACTATATTGTGTATCATCTGTATATATAAAAAAATATTTCTTTAAAGGAATACTATTTCTTAGAATGAACATAAAATATAAGAATTTTAAACTTGCCCATTAAGAGCATATATTCATCAGTAGATATACTTGGTATCATAAATAACATAAATATAAATCTGATAAATCCAAAAAACTTAGTTATTATCCATAAATATGCAATTAACTTTTGAAAAACGCTTCAGATTAAGTTTAAGCGTTTTTCAATAATTACTTAAATTATATGTTCATTCTAAGACGTAGTATCACTTTAACTAGACTTACAATATCTGTATGTCCATGTGGTAATTGTACAGATACACCATCAGGTGTTATGTATTGTATTCCTTGAACTGCCTGGTTCCCTTCATCATGGGTTTGATTAACAGTAACTGTCATAGGCTGTTGTGTTTCTGGATCATACACAGTGAAATGTTGTTCACCTTCTGTCATTTTCTTGCAGCTAATGGAATCTTCCTTTTTATTAGAAGTTTAGCTGGAAAAAAATATAAAATTATTATGTATGTCTACAAAAAAAGTGTTAACAGAACGGCATTTTATAGTAGATTGAGCTTACTTCCTTTGCAAGATTAGGATATTCAAAACTACTGGCAGCACTTAATGTAAAGATGTACTTCGTCTTTGGCCATTTGACCAAATTGGGGCCATTACGGTTAGGTGCTAATAAATTGACCATAACCCCTTTTAATGAGCATCAGTCTGATTATATATGTATTGTTTGGCAAATGGGAAGGTTTATTTACACAAATTTGCAGGAACAATAACTTTGTATTATCTTTTAAATAATTTACACAAAAATGGTTTAATACGTGAAATGTCGACCTTTAACTTCCATAGGATAGGGGATTCAAGTTTCAATAGTTTCATCAAAAAATTTCTGGATCCTTATTGAACCCGAACTGTTATCAAAATGAACATTAAAAAGTCTCACTGCTTATGCTTCAGCTATACATGAATCACAATATGGCATCATAGCACAAGACATAACTCAATTTTCAAAAATCAACTGAATTGGTTGTCATTTTTAAACATTTGCCATATGAAAATTTATTGAATGAATGAATTAATGGAAATGAATGACTGATTGAGTGACAAGCATGACAAATTGCTTTACAATCAATTTCATCAGAAATCAAAGGCATATTGTGTAAGCAAATTGATTAGATTTCATTGAAGTTATAGACCGACAATATTCGTCACATTTGTACTTACACGGCGTAAATTAAAAACTCAAATTTTAACTTTCTTTCACAACATAATTTTTATGGCGGATACTTCCTGTTTTACTCACAGGGACTTGAGCCGTTTGTCAACAGCCTTTCGAATCGGTTCAGTAGATCGAAGAATGATTTAAGAAAGTAAGGATGTCGAATTTTGTAAACTTCCAAATGAAACAATTTATATTTTAGAATCTATTTTTAAAATGAGGCTGAATCTTTTAAATTCTAAATCGACAGAGAAAGCGGGACGCGCACCTGCAGCAAGTTATTACGAGTCCCTCTGATTTACAACAAATTTGCCCGTATCATACGTATCAAATGTGTTAAAAAATATTGACACTAGAGCTGGTTTATAATTCAAAATATTACGTTTTCAAATTCATAGAAAATATATTGCTGTTTTTAGTTCTTTCTTTCGTTTATTTTTTCTATAACATCTTGCGGTACTCTACTTAGCGGATGTAAACAAAGCCGGTTCCTGCTTCCGGTTACGATTCTTGTCCGCTTCAAATAAATTTTTGTTCCATATTCAAATCGGAAAACATCACCATGAGTAAAGCACATCCTCCAGAGTTGAAAAAGTATGTATTCTGCAAGATGTTGGACTTTCTTGATTATAGAGTTTGCAGATGTGACTAATATAAGGAACAGTGTTCTGACATCGTAACCCACTGATCGAAAAAGTTGTTTTCACTTCACTTTCATTTGTTTCATTTAGAATTTACCCTATTGCATACTGCATGGCATTAGTTTGTCTTCTTTAGATCATTGTGAAGCTGTTTCACTAATTCATGTTACATCCGGACTTTGTTTAACTAATGCTGTTACAAGCGTCGTTGCAAATTTCGTTTTGACTTTAGCTTTCAAGAGATTCAGAAGTTCTTTCTCACTCTCAGTGTCAGTTATATTTCTAATTTTTTTCTTCTTCAGATATATGGACAAAAGGCTTACACGTAAGTTTCCTTCATAACTTAGTAGAGACAACTCTCTGACTACAATATTTACTGAATCAAATTTTGGCAATTTTTTTTTGTTTGGATTGAAATATCAAGTACAAATTACTAACCTACACTGGAATGTATGACCGGTCGGACCATTACCATGTCGGACCATTACTGGTTCGGACCTAAAAAAAAATGTTTATAACCAGCTCGGACCAATGATATTTTTCTCACTACCGACTCGGACCAAGGTTTTTTTTCTCACTACCGACTCGGCCCACTAGACTTGGACCAATACCTTAGTGACTCGAAGTAATTTTTACGACAGACTCGGATCACATTTTTTATAAATTTGGACCAATACCTTACCGACTCAGACCACTTTTGTAAACAAATTGAAAGTAAAATGGTAAGGACAACTCTCACTAGGACTCAGAACAATGTTAAAAGACAATGCATATGGCGGCCATTATAATGACCGTGTTTTATATATATTAAACTTTATTTTCAAAAAAATATATTAGACTCATTCACTCTTTTGAGAGAGTTTGGTGGCCCTGAAAAGGGCCGTTTAGATGTCCCTGAAAAGGGCTGTTTAATTATTTGGGGCGAAGATGGCACCACACTTCTTTAGTAGTTGGCTGGTACTCATTTCACCTTCTGCTTGCTTTGATATCGGGAATGGGCACTAAAGGCAACGATAGTCTTGTACTCTCGAATGAGGGTACAGGAATACTCTCGGCTGAGGGTACAGGAGTCGTACAGTTCTGACACTGGAACAGTACCACAGTTAAATCTTTCAACTTTGAACTGTTGAATACAAATCGTCTAATCCCTTAACTAATCTCATTGAACAATTCGCATCAAAGTGATAATTAATACCTAATAATTGGTTGAGTATTGTTAATTAAGACTTGGTAACGGTCCGATCGGTCCTGATTCCCTACACTGATAGTCTTGGAATTGGATTTGTTTTTGGGTTGATGAATAATAGTAACCACTGAAAAAGTCAGAGTAGACTTAAATTCTACCTTTTCATACTAAATTCAAAAGAGATTAATCAAGACCTGAGACAACATTTGGTAAAAAAAGACTACTCTGACAAATCAATAACAATTGAGTACTTTGATGAGGACTGCTCAAACAATAGGATTAATTTATAGGATTTGATGATATATGAATTAACAGATTGTTATAGTGACAATTATCGGCTCAAAGGTGTAAACTGTGATGATTACCTTCTCACTTTCTCAAATACTTCTTGAAACTGTAATATATTTTTGATAAACCTTCATTTGTAAACATTACCGCAACACTGTTTTCTGAATTAAATTTGGCAATTATTTTTATATACAGTTGAAAATTTTATTTTGAATATTTATGAAATGAGAGCAAAATTTCAATTCAAAGCCCATTGTAGTCAGACAGTAGTGCAAATTAAAATCATATGAAATAGAAAATATATACAAAAAACATGATGAGAATTATATGGTGACTGATGCATCCTGTAAAATTGTACTTCTATCTTTTTAGTAAAATTAAATGGTGGCAGACAAATTGTGGGTACTTTACGAGGATTTGATCCCTTTATGAACTTAGTAGTGGATGAATCCATGGAAAAATTAAAAACTGGTGGAGAACAACCTATTGGAATGGTGGTAAGAATATTATGCAAAACTCTGAAGACTTGGATGACAAATAAATGTTGGCTAGGAATAGTGCAAAAAAAAAACCGCTATGTGTCTCTTATGAAAGGGCCAGGTTCCTCATTTCAAGGGCTGATTTGAGTCTTGAATATTAATTTCGACAGTGAGCTGTGAACACTATTTCTGATTCGTTTAGCTAAAAAATTACCTTTGATACATAGGTAAGGTATGATTGGTAGAACGGATGACCAATCTGTCCTTTTAAGTCTCCCTAATAAAATTGACAAAATTCTACTCCATTCTTATGTAAAACTAAGATTTTTTTTTGTATATTTGCAGGTTGTTAGAGGAAACAGTATAGTATTATTAGAATCTTTAGAGAGGGTCTAGTGGTTTGTAGATCAAACTAAAAATTGTCAAGAAGACAATGCAAAAAATCATGTTGTATTTTTCATTTTAAATCATTTTTTGTAGATCATTGTCATTCTCATATTTCATCATGTAAATAAATTCATGCCTTCATCATTAATTGTTTTATTTCTTTACACTAAAATATGAACAGTTAAAAGACTACAAGAACATTGTCATGGTTTTTCCTTCCGATCGTGCAGAGGTCAGAAATGCTTGTCCTAATTGGTGGAGCTGATTACCTTTGAGTTCCAATTTTTGTCCTATGCATGTGAAGGCTACACGGAATTTGACAAGCAGCAAAAATTTACCCAAATTTTACAAATGAACTTTCCCATCAAAAGCCAAAATGATGAAAAGTATGCATGTATGGAGAGAGTTCAATGGAAAACTGAGGGGTGTCAAGTAGATGACTGACAGCTGTGTCTGTTTAACTATAAATATTCCAGCCATGCTCCTCATAATGCTGTTAAATTTTGTTATAGAACAGCAGTTTATTGGAATTATGAATATTAACATGCAGAAATGTAGGGCTGTAATGGCCCTCTGACATGTGCATGGTCTCTACATGTTACTGGGAAATATTTATGTAGAGGACCCAGATCTGACCTATAATTGAGATATTGGCAGATATTGTAATTATTCAAATACTGAATACATCCTGTAAAAGCTGACCTATTAAACTGCAACCTAATTATCAGGAATCATTATCCATAGGCTTGTCAATTTTCAGTTAGGTTTTGGCAGTGGGTGTTTACCACACATATATATCGTTATCTATCTGGATACAAACCTTCTGAAATTTCTATAATTTATACATAGAAAAATATCAAAAGTAATTAATCGTATTACTCGTATCGTAGAGGCTTCTACTGACTCCCGTAATGTCAACTTGATGACGCTGGAGTGTTCCTTTAAAAACTAGGGGCCTTCATAATTCTTACACAAAAACACGTTTGCTGTTATAGAATATTTATGTGGCAAACAACAGCCTTCCAGCGGTTGACGGGCCGGGACTAGCCTATGTAACAACCAATGGTAAATACACATACTATGTAGGCATGAGTGTGCTGCGAATATAAATCCTGGAAATTTGCGTGAAATTCATATTGCTTTTATCTACGATAACTGACACAGACTCTTTAAGAGACACTAATGGCTTTATCCTTTGACGGAAAATTCCCACTTTTATTATGGTCGGTTTGACCGGAGTACGAAATGACATTATTATCCTGATCAAAACATCACGTGACTAAACCCACGTGACTTATTCAGCCAATCAATGTAAATCAACATTGAAGACGAAGGACGTACCGATCAATCGTACTAATGGTGAACACAGACGTAGTCAAGATTGGAGCGAAAACCAGCAAAAGAAACCATCTGAGGGCACTAAATCATATCCCAAAGATGATAAGCAAAGATAGAGATGTTGAAAATAACAAGGATAACTTCTTCTGTGGTGTAGTTGAAGGTGATTTTTGAGAAATATTTCCGCCTTCTTCTCACTGCGTATTTCATCTCATCAAAATGGCGGACTGAAAACTAGTTCAATCCGCATTCCATTCAACTTGACTGAAATTGACAACTGTGATAAACATATTTTCACTTGTTAAGAAATCACTTTGTCGTGTAATTTGATTTAATGATATTTGTAAGAGATATACAATTGATTGTGATGCAATCTTTTCGGAAAATAAATTTAAATTCACAAATGATTCTGTTGAATAAAAAAAAATTCAGTCTGTGGTTAATTTTGATCTGCCCTTTTACATTCATTCATATCTAAACATTTTCATTTATAATTGTAGGGTTTTACGGAAGACCATGGACAACAGAACAGAGAAAATTATTATTTTCTTGGTAGGTATTTTATCAAGTTTCAACCGATTTCACAAGGAAAATGAAAATTGCATTAACATATTATTAGCATCTAACCTTGACTTGTTGATAGAAGTTTATATTTGAAGAATTCTTTTCCACTACATCACTGCCAGCCTGTACTTATTGATCAATCCTATATGATATCCTCTTCATATGTTATTATCTTGTATTGATTAAAACTGCAATAAATTATAACTTTGTTTTCTACAGGATGAATAAGATGGGTTTAAATACTTACATGTATGCACCAAAAGATGATTCTAAACACAGATCATTTTGGAGAGATCTATACACAGTTGAGGAAGCAGGTAATTTATAAATTTAAATATTGAAATTCTCCAGGGCCTAAGATCTTCAGCCTGAGTTATTTATTGTTAAAGCCAAACTGTATTGACTTTTGATTAGAGAAAATTTATGCTTGGCCATCTGACTAATTTTTTGGATGTTTGTATTTCAGAAAGTTTAACCAGTTTGATAGAAGCAGCTACCAGTAATAACATCACATTTGTTTATGCCATCTCACCTGGGTTAGACATGACTTTCTCTGGTTCTAAAGATGTCACATTTTTAAAGAGAAAACTAGAACAGGTAATACTATATCAGTTATTTTCTTCAGTAATTATCATCTCTTGTAAAGTCCATTGACTTAATTTTATACAGGGCCTTATCCCTTAAGTGTTATCTATATAATTCTGACCATATAAAATAATTTTTATAAGTAAATATTAGAAGGCATATCAAATTCAACATAAATTTTATTTTGTGTTTCTTAATGATATAAGCTTATTCATGAATGTTTATCTTGTTGTAGGTATCAATGTTTGGTTGCCCTGCCTTTGCTGTGTTATTTGATGATATTGACCCCGAAATTAGTGAAGCTGATAAAAGTGTGTTTCAATCATATGCTTGTGCTCAAGTTTCTGTTACAAACGAAGTTTATGAATATCTAAATCAACCAAAGTTTTTATTCTGTCCAACAGGTATGTTTGTGATAAATTTATATTTATTTTATGGATTGAATATGTATTCATTATTCTTCTTGGAGAGTATTATTGGAGCAAAATGGAAATTCTGACAAGGTATTGATAATTAATAAAATTATTGTATTGATGTCTGTATTGGTATCTGGATAATCTTTGATTTTGTCAGCATGAGTTTAAGATTTCTCATTCTCTTGCAGAATATTGTGCTAGTCGAGCTGTACCAAATGTGAAATGTTCAGAATATTTGAACACAATTGGCTCTAAATTATTACCTGGTATTGACATTATGTGGACAGGTGAGTTATTTCCCTTAACTGCTCATCTAGGTTATTTTGCTGTGTAGAAGATGGCTTGAGAAGGTGGTTGAATTCTTAGTGTGTTTGAGCCATATTTGCATTAAGATGTGATAATCTGGTCTGCCACATATGGTCAATTTTGATTTGAATTTATCCACCATTTGGATAAGCATAATATGCTAGAAGTTTATGATTTAGTTTTCTTATCATGATATTTGTTAATTTCAGGTTCCAAAGTAGTAAGCAAGAAAATTTCCATCCAACAGTTAGAAGAAATAGGATCAGTTTTAAGGAGAAATCCAGTTATTTGGGATAATATCCATGCCAATGATTATGATCCTCGTAGAATATTTCTAGGACCCTATGATGGACGATCACCTGAAATTATTCCCTACCTCCGTGGTGTTATGACTAATCCTAACTGTGAATTTGAATCTAATTATGTAGCTTGTCACACCCTAGCTCAGTGGTGTATGTCTAATATTGATGGTGTGAAGAAGGATATCATTCCAGGTAGGTTATTATCAATATCATTTTGACCATTGCCCAAATTGGTAAACAACAGTGGTTGTGGTTTCTACTGTTTAACATTTTGAAATAGTGATATAGAACCAATGATAGTTGTTGGTTCTATTGGTGGTCAGATGCTGAGAGTCTGGTGACCTTGAATGAGTCATTTGACCCAGACATTGATAAGGTTGCATTACGTAAGAAAGATCAAGGCCAAGAGGTTGGCTGAGAAACTTAGTTAGGAATGAGGACAACTGATACCAATGTTCTAACATGGTTTTTCTTTTCTACTAAACACTAATATGTTAAAACAAGATCTTTCTTAGTTCTGTCTTCTGAATAATATAATTTCAACATATTTGGGTCTTTCTTTTATTACAGAAGATCCACTCAGCACCATATCATCTGATATTAAACTGGAAACAGAAAGTGACTTTGGTTCTGATGATGACATTCCATGTTATGATGCAAGATACCATCCACATGTTGCCTTACGATCAGCCATCAATGACTGGTTGACAGAATTATCTGCTACACGAGCAGCACCAAGAAAAGCCATAGAATTATCACCAGCAACTGCTCTAGTCAATACCTGTGTGATCAGTACACCTACCATTTGTACATTCCCTGATAGCTCAACTAATGTCCAAATTCAAACACAAATACCAGATATCGGAAACAATATGATGATTGACAACCAATCTTTCTTACAACCAACCACGATGAATGTTGTAAACAGTTTAGTGGAGGATGGATTACCAGACTCCACTCCTAACTCCGCCCCAGAATTAGAACCAATGGATTGCATTCCAGCCAATAATAACAATACTGAGAAAGCTGACCTGACCAAGGACACCTCTTCAGACAGTTTGATGCAAGTTGAAGTATCTGGAGAGAAAGCGAAAGTAGAATGTTTGACCTATGATGAAGTAAAGTTGATAGTTGATATGTTCTACTTACCATTTGAATTTGGCTCCAATGCTACTGGGTTACTGTATGATTTACATTGGTTGAGTAGTAATGCTCATCATCTTAGTTCTAAAGACAAAGAGGAAGAGGTAAGTGATCTCTTTACTTGATCTCATAATTATATAATTTAAGATAATTCTGTTGCAATGGAAATCTATTCAAGCTCTTGGTGGATATTCACTTTAAATGGACATCTGATCTATTTACAGACTTCATGTAAAATGATTCTTGGTTTTACATACTTTCAATAGCTTACTTCTGGTGCAGTAAACATATACTTCCATGATTTAATGATATTATATTGGTAATTAATCACGTTTTCATTTTTTTTCTGGTAGACGGGATGCATAGACATCTGTACAACACATTGATATTGTGAAAATTCATTTTCTTTCTGCAGAAATCCGAATGGTTTGTAATTGCTGCCAGATTCAAGGATCAAGTTAGTAAATTAGAGAAGATAGCTGACAAACTACATCATATACCAAACCAGACCATTTCTCATGAATTGTATCCGTATCTATGGGATATTCGTGGTATTTTACAGACTTGTTCAGCTTACATTGATTGGATTGGTAGGTATTGTAATTCAGAAATGGCTAAATAAACTATTATAAAAAAATTAGGATGATTACAAAGATAATGAATTCAAATTCAGCAAAGCCACTAATACTACAATTTCCTAGTTTTAAGCATAACTTTTTTTTTCTACAGACAAAAAATTAATCTGGTTTTCCTTTTATTTTTTTCTAAACAGGATCTGGGCATGTTAAAGTTTATGCAGGTCATCTACAGAACAGATATACATGTAGGCATCTTATTATAGAGTAACTATAACCTATCAAGTTGTGTACAGTTCTGTCTTAAATAATATTTATTTTAGGTTCAAAGGAAGATTATTAATAGATTTAAGATATGAACTTTTTTGAGATGTTTTCCTGAAAATTTTTAGATTTTAAGAATTTTAAGAAATTTATTAGTATAATTTGGATTTCCTATCAACAATATGAGGAATATAGAATTATTTTATTCTATAACTATTGAAATATAAACTGAAAAAAAAGTTCATATATAATCTTTGTAGCTCTGGTCATTTTACTTTTATGTTTCTTCAGAAATTTTAAAACTAAAACGACTTGGCAATATTTACTAAATCACCAGATAGATTTGAATATTGTTGCTCTCTTGCTCCCCGACTTAAGATTTAGAACTTTTTATCAAAGTGTTCAAAATTATCCCCCAATCCACTATTTTCAAGAGAACAACCTTGGACAAATTTCTGTCAATACAAGAACTGTACACAACTTTTTTACTTAAGAAAATATCCTTGGTGGTAGCTGTCTCATTTAAAGTAAACATTTTACAGTAAGGTAAGCTAAAAGAAAAGAAAAGAAAACTAATGAACCTTTTTTCCTTCAAGTTGTTTTTCCTGCCGACTAATATTTCTGTTTTATTTCAATAGGGCAAACGAAAGGTTACAGAGATACTTTCTGTAATGGTGAACAAGAACCATGGGTGTTCCGAGGTGGTCTACAATCTGAACTACAAGTATGTATACACTATCTTGAGTGTATATATAGAAAAGATTGTAGGAAACCAGTTGATATACTAATGTTATTCTCTTTGTTTCTTTCTTACAGCTGGTGTTCACAATCATTACACCATATCTCAGGGTTTAGTTTATTTTCAGATATTTTGCTGCCTTGCGCTGCGTTTTTATATTGTGATTTATTTGATGTATTAGATAAGTATGGTTTCTTTAATGTCGGCTTCGAAATCTTCAAATATTTGTTGAAAAGTTTAAAGTGTATCTGAGTCAATATAGTAATTTTGAAATAACTTTCCGTTATGAATTATATGTTACGTCGATGAAAAAATAATTATTTAACAGCTCAAAGAACAAGTATTTGAAGATTTCAACTAAACTGTTCAGATAAATTAAAGGTAAATAAAATAATGTAATGAATAAAAGTGATATTACAATGTGAAAAGGAAGATAATATGATATAAACATTACAAATGGTTGAACAAGTCATAATTAGTATAATTTATAAGAAATTGCTTAATATTGGTTTTATGTTTGCTTGTGCAATATTCAGCAATTTCAAAAATTAAATTATCTTGTTATTGCATAAATGTATTAAGTGCTCTCAAAACCATCAGGAGTTATGTTAGGCTTATTTAAAACGACCAAAATTATAACTTTGATTATTACAATTGTTTCATGGAGATTAAACATTTTTTATGTTGGCCAAAATTTCTGATATATTGTGAGAGCACTTGTAGTAATATGACTGAACCATTTCTAATTCTATATCATATTTGTAAAACCCCTGCTTTATTTTTGTCGGTTCTCGATTTTTGTTAATTGAAATTCAAGCGATATTACATTGTACTGTCACTAGTTAAAATTTTTAGAATTTTTAGAATTCTGTAGATATGATGTTTGTTTTTAAGGAAACCATACTTATAGCTGTAGCTTAACCTTTGTTTTTCAGTTTGCGCTGCTGCGTTGGTGTTGTCAGAAATTGCATGGAAGTTGATTCTGGGCAAGATAGGATTTTCATGAATATCTTAAGTCTGTAACTGGACTTAAAAATATTTTTTGTACATCAAAATTGTTTCTTTGGCATGCTAAACAAGAAATTCTCATAAAATGCTATTCTCATAAAATGCACATACGAACAATTCAAAAAAGATTATTTGGAATTCAAATTATATACAAACGGTCCATGGTATATGTTAATTTGTCATAGAGATTGTCCCGATAAATACCTTTTATTTAAAATTGAAATCAAAATGAGCCTAGAATCGCTTCCATTCAAAAATATCTGATAGAAACTAACCCTGAGATATGGTGTAAAATGGTTGACTGACATCAGCTGAGAGGAGAGGAGAGATGGCAAACACTGGTTTCTGTACAATCTTCTATATTTACATTCTCAAAATTTAATCATCACAACCAAAAAATTCAACAAACTTTCACACATTCTAAAATATTAAATTTGGCTTATTAATATTACAAATAAATTGTAAAATTGAGCTTTATAATTTTTTTAAAATTGATATTTTATAAGAATGTAAAGAAGATGATTGCTATAGAGTAAACGTGTTAAGACCATGTTATTAATAGTATTTTTTGTCAACAGCGTATGTTACCAATTGATACGGCCCATGATTTGTTCATTATGAAACCACCAGAAGTAATGGTTACTACCAATTATACATTCAGACCATATAGACTTACTGATGAGGTGAGGCTCTTTCAATTACACTTTGACCTCATCCAGTCATATAGCAAATTTTTGCTGCCAAAAATTCTCTGTATGACATGTTGAATCGTAAGTACTAAGTAAACACTATCGAAAGCAGCATTATTCACTTTGTACAGCTTTAATGCTTTTGTTTTGATTTTTCAACAACTTTTGCTTTCAGAGTTTGGTAATAAAAGAATTCTGTATTTCATTTGTTATTTCACTCTATTTCAGAGATCTGTTTACAATGTTTGTTTGAAAACATGCGATGATGGCATGGACGGCACTGATGTGTTCCCCGAAAACTTAGATCTAATAGGAGACAGGTTTGTCACTAGCTCAGTGCTTGTAAACTAAAGCATTAGAGGATTGGATCTTCAGTTTTACTTTGCCATCCGCTCAAACCAACTACTTCGGTGCTTCTTCTATAAGACCAAGTCTGGAAAAATTGTCTTGCATTATTTCCCTGAGGATTTTGTTTTGCAAATTCGTTTGATTTGAATTCAAGACTTGTACCCTGGAAACTTGTATTTAATCACCAAGGGTTGGTTCTTGAATTGTTCCAGCTTTTCCTTGGTGCCTTCAATAGACACACTTTGCACATAGAACTGCAAATACTAGTCTAGATTTCATTAATAGTGGAAATAATTCTAGTTGAAATCAGTACTATGAGCTTGGTGTGTCTATAGCAGTGAATATAACTCAATCTTCTATTTCAGATATCTTGGAGGATTTATCAATGCGAGTCCTGAATACTGTTTTGTGGTAGAGGATGACCAAGGTGTTTGTGGTTATGCTTTAGCATCATTGGATAGTAAAATATTACATGAGAAAAGTGAATCTGCATGGAAACCAGCTATGTGTGATAAATATCCAAAACCAGACAAGGAAGAAATGACACCTGCTGATGTAAGTATGTTCAATGTTTATGGGTTGTATACTCTGGAGTTGAATATCATTTCTGGCCCAGGGGCACAACCTTAGTGTCACCATATCAGATGCATTTGGACATAAGTTCCTAATTACCAAAAAGTGTTGCTATCCAGACATCACTAGCTAACATAAGGTGCAATCCAAATAGCAGTTCAATTAATTCTGTAAAATAGTCTATGTATGGATGTGTATAGATTAGGCTTGGTATATAATTATTTATGGAGAAATCTATTGTAGGAAAGTTTCAAATAATTTGATTTTATTTTCTTATTGCAGGAGGTGATTCAAAGTTTTCACTCTGATCAAAAGATGGTACCTGAATCTATGTATACTCTAGCTCCCTCTATAATTCGCTTAGATATTTTACCAAATAGAATAAATGACATCTCAGTGGCTAAACGACTCCTAGCTTGTACTCTATCAGGACTTAAAACCAACGGTTCAATAGGAGTTCATTGTGAACTTAATATTGGAGACAAATACATGTTAGACTTCTATGGTAAACTCGGATTTTTCCCTTTGGCTGGTCCTGAAAGTGCATCAGAAGAGGTGGTATACCTTGGAAGATTATTATGAGTGCTGGAATTGTGATCAACAACTGTTGCCATTCATTCTGTGATCCAAGAAGATTCTGAAATAAGATTTCTTCAGATCCATCAATATTGTGATCAGTGATATGAATCAGAGTGTGATCATGATTGGTTGTAATTGATTATTGATCAATATCGATTGAATGTGATCAATCAATCACAATAATGTGATAAGGTAGTGTGATCCATCATAATTGTAATCAGTTACTGTTGACCAAGGAGCAACATCTATAGTGATCCACACTGATCAAGGATTCTGATCCATCAATGTTGTGATCTGATATTATTGATCCTTAAATGTTGTGATCAATGGGTCTTAAAGATGGTTGTGATGTTCAATTCTGAGCAGTATTTTTACTATCTGTGATAAACAAAAGCACAAAGACTTCTAATACGGTACTGGGTTATGGTTCAGGGTGCCCTCAAGAAGATAGAATCTGTTATAATGAGGGTACAAGTGTGAACAGAGGTGTAGCTTAAAGGTAAATCCTGTTTCAGGGTTTTAGAATCTCCACAAAAATATATGCTCTAAAGATATGAGATATGAGAAAATTGAAGTTTGTTTCATTTTATTGAAATTCAACATAAATGACCTTGTTTTGTAGTGTATTTGTAAATACTATTAAGAAACAGTCTTATGAAAATTATTTATTGAAAATCTGAAATTAAAAATCCACATAGAAGTCTGTTTTGTTTATAAACTATTCTTGTTGCTTGTAATCTTATTGTGAAATGTGATGAGTATAGAGGACATTTGAGAATGAGAGTATCCACTACTGCTGTTATATTGTCTCCTTCTAATCCAATAGCTTATATTGTTTACTATTGAGCTTGGATTAAGGGATGGATATCAAAGATTAAAATAAGATCTTTATAATTGAGATTATGCCAGAAGGGCCAATGTTTAGTTGTTTTCTTCACTTTATGAAGTCTGAGACTGTGCTAGCCTGCTATAGGCATTTGTTATGTATCTTTTCAATGTAAATGTTATGCTTGTGAACATAGAGTGAGCTTGTTTTTGGTGAGGATTCCTTGCTGAATTCTCTTAAAATGTTACTAGCAATCTGTGACTAAAGCTCCTGATGGGAGGATAAATATAATATTGTATTGTGTGAATGTAATGTTATTTCATGTCAAATTTTATTATTTTGAAAGAAGTCTTTCATAAACTATATCTTAACTTAAAACAAGACAATTCTTTGCTGTATATTGTAAGGTTATATACTGTATTATTGGTAATGTATTACAAAGTGATAAAAATAATAAAAATATTGATAACAATATTGCTTTTATTTTTATGCTGACAGGAAGAATGTCTTTGATTCAGATGCTTTGAAGCTAGACTTGGTTAAAGTGGCTAATAGTAGTTATAAGCTACAAGCTTATGTGCATTTTGGATTTTGTACTGTGATATTGATGGAAACGGGTAGACTGATGTTGAGGCCAAGCAATGGAAATGGCCAGGGTTATGTGTGCGACTGACCATGAATTTGTATTAAACATAACAGGTACCTTGCCTTGTCTATGAACTGAGGGTCAATACAGCTAATTAATTTAGATAATGGTTTGTCTGGAGCAATTGGTATATGCCTGTTGAATCTCAGGCAATACATATCAATTAACAGACTTGTATTGGAACAAAACCTTCCCCTATATACTGTCGTGAACTGCAAAATCTGTTGACTGAACAAGCACTATCAACACCATTTCAATTAATTGTAGGATAACATTAGGCAGTGTTTAACTATGGCATGATAATAATGACAGCTGAAATTATGCATTATGGGCTTAACTGGTATATATGCAGACTGTCTTGATTTACATAAAAAATATTTATTGTACAAAATATTTCTGTATTAGTTACAGTATGGTAATGTATATATATATATATATAAATAACTTTAAATTATCTCCAGCTAGATATAATCATTATTAATGTATAAATAATAATCAATATACAATTCAAAACAATGTAGAACACAACAATTTGAGACATTCACTTAAAGCATTAAATAAATAAAGCACTCCAAAAATGTAAAAAGATATAAAAAGCACTAATATCGCATAAATTTGAAGCGGTACGTAAGTATAAATTATATTACTCTATCATCTGTCAGATACATAGATGACTTGTAAACTTCTATAAAAATGACTCATTGTTGCCCTCCCACCAAATCGAATTTGTTCCTTTGTTCTTCACTTAAGTGTATAATTTCTGGATGTGAGAATTTTGGAGAAAATGGGCTGTGATATTACACTGCTTTCTATCAAAATAAAAACTGACTGTTCAAATTTCTAAAATCCCCAAGATATGTATCGATACATCAAAATCACATTATCAAGATCTATGGAATTTCAAATTCCTGACACAATAACCTGCAGGTTACCAGGTATATTCCTTAGTTATTCTTATTCTTTAAAGAATTGTAAAAACTATTTCAAAAGAGATTCAATAGTAATAAAATAAAAATCAAGAGATTTTCTGACTGTTTATATCTAACTCAAATCTTACTGTGGAAATATGTGTATGACCAACTGTGTCTGGGGCTTCATTAAGTTTTTACGAAGATAATATCAGGATCAGGAAATGGCCTACAGTTATCTGATTGTTTCATAAAGCTAATATTTTATTCATTGACCAATCAGTAGAATATCTTTTTAGTTAATTTCAAAATTACCAATTTTATGAGAAAATAATGGATGTGTATTTTCAAGGACATTACAGCCAACAGCCCTGCTCAGCACAAATATAGCTCTTAATTATGGCTATATATAAATTGGTACTTACTACAGATTTCCATAATGAGGTTCGGATTGATTTCTGTCTGATCTTCTCCTAAAAGATACAGAATTCATATAAATGCTCTGTCTTGGCCTTGTCCAGTTAATATATATATCTTCTTGTCCTGCTACGTCTCCAACCATAAGAGTACTGAGAGTATCTCGTATGATAGCAAATGATGGTCGGAATTCACTCTCCTCTTCCCAGCATTTATTTATCAATTCATATCTGAAAAATATTAACCTCATTATGAAAATGAAAAAGACTGTGATTGACAAAAAAATAATTTTTAAGACATTTTCATTAAATCATAAACTTTCATTTATAATCCACCTTCGATATAAGACTTGAACGACCTTAAGAAGTAAGGAGTAGTTAGCACATTTCTTTAATAAACATTAAGTATATCCTTTCAACACAATTTACATGTGTCGTTGGAAAAAGCGTTTAGTCGTTCGAATAGGACAATAAACCGAGGCCTCATGTGCTACAGGCTGTGCACGTTAAAGATCCCTCTGCAGTTGGAAATCGAAAAAGAGCAGGCTAATGCTGCTGTCCTGGCAAAATTTACCTCAATGCACCCTGCATGGCGTTGCCCATCTTCATTAGCCCACATGGTGCAGAAAAGTAAGACGTAAAACTCCATTTATTTCATTTCATCAGATGAAATGATGAAATCCAAAACCATACAGAACTCTACTGCATTCCCTTATTTCTTTCTATTCATTTATATGGGAAAATAAACCTAGGACCCATGGGTTGAGCCATTAAGATTTCCTTGACAGTTAGGAATCGAACGAGGGCAGGCAAATGCCATTTTCCTGGCAAAATTTCCTTATTTCACGCTGGTATTGTCTGTCTTAAAAAGACAGATACATCATTTTGGGGGGATGATTTGAGGGTTGAATATATGTAAATAGTCTTCAGAAGTACTAGAAAATGTAAGAAAATCATATAATTCCTTTCAAATATTTCAGGAATTTTACTGTTACTGATTAGCTAAAAAATTCCAGTTTTTGAGACTAAAATATGTTTGGTAACAAAAATGGCCTACCCATGCCTTTAATTAGCCCAATCAAGTGTTGGAAAAACATAAAACTCCCATTTCATTTCAATGAATAAATATATAGCTTACATTTCATCAGATATTATTTCTGGTTTACCAAGTCTAAAGCCTTCAACAAGCAAGTCATAAATTCCACTATCAGCAGTATCAATAAACGGTAAACATCCTCTTGTTAGAAGTTCCCATAATAAAACACCATAAGACCACTGGAATGTGAAAACAATATGTATATCATATACTGTATACTTTTTGAATAAAATGCCCATCATATAATATAACAGCCATTCATTTCTAGCACACATAAATTCTGATTTCAGAAAAATGTTACCCATAGATCTAATCAGTTTTTAAGTTCACTATCAAGAAACATATAGACTCAATTCTTTTAGCCCTGGTATTTCATTTTCTACAAGTTGCAAATAAGTATCATTTTTTTAAAAGATATACAAAATTTTGAGTTTCAAACAAAATGTATAATTACCACATCACTCTTGATATCATAAAACCCAAATTTTATAGACTCTGGTGCCATCCATCTAATTGGTAAATAACGATTTTTTGTCAAGTCTAGCATGTATTCAGTTGGAAAAAAATCGTGTGAATATGCAGAATCTGAAATCTTTATCAATGAATCTTGGCTCACCCTTGAAAAAAATATCAAATTTTATATCATTAAAGTTATGTGAAAAAATGGGTTATTGTGAAGGAAGAGTTACTCCCCTTGTCACTGAAAGTGGGTGGAGCTTAACAGGTCTCTTCCTCTGCAAACTTGTTTTTGATGGAATTATTTGTTTGCACAAAACAATTGTTTTAGTACATTCATCATTGTGTTTTGTTGAAATATTTGTTTGTATTGGAAATAAACCAAATGTAGATCAGGGACAAATGGTTTCTACAATGATCAACCCAAAGAGGTGAAAAGTTTATTATAATTTCATTCTACTTAAAAAGAGCATTACATTGAAACTAAGGATAATATTATTTTGGTTCTTTGTGAAATGTTAACTTCTATAACAAAATGGGTTTTCCAATATGGTCAACACAAAGAGCAGCAGAGGAGTCTAAGTCAGACATTTATTATCTTCAATCAGACATGAATGGCAAATATAGGCAAATCAACTATCAGGCATCTTAATACTTTTTCATACCATTTCTTTTTTTATATACTTACATACAATTCCTAGTGGCAAGATCTTCGTGAACTATACCATGATCATATAAAAAACACATTCCTTCTGATATCTGAACACCGTATCCTAGTAATTGTTTTAACGAGAATTCCTGAAAATGTGTACAAAACACAACAATCTTTAATCATGACTCATTTTCTTTTTAATCTATTCATTTATTTTTTAAAGAGAACACAAAATCATTGATCCAATATAATTTTGCATTTTTGTTGAATAAAGTCTTCTATTTTAAGATCAATGTGATGGCTCAGGGTTTAGTAATGAGTAGAATTGTCATTGACTATGCAAACAAGTTTCAATCGCTCCTCAGATAAAATTTCTGATGTCACTGCTTTGTCAATTCTCAATCTTTTCCAACTAAAAATGCATTCTAAAAACACAAAAAATAAAATCAGTAAATATCTTACCTTGTTCTCATCACTGACAAAATCTTTCAATGTTCTATTTTTCATAAAAGGATATAAGATGTGAAATTTGCATTTCTCCAAGCCTATACCATGTATACTCAGTACATTAGTATGTGATAGCTTTCTAAATCGAACACATTCTGTTAAAGCTTTGAACACCCAATCAGGATAGTCCTCATCATCTATCAAAAAGCAGACAAAAAAATTCTCAAAATTCTTAATTAAAACTTATATTTATCTGGGAGACCTATTTCAAAAAATGCTTCTTCAAAATATAATTGGGGTTTAAATATATATGCAAATGCAAAAAGAATCACAGCCAGATTCAAGTTTTTAATATTGATAATCAAGGTCATATTTTCTTACATTCTTGTTTGACATGTACAGTCTAAGAGGGAATGCTCGGAAATGGCTGCTTACTAAAGGGTTTGGTGCAATTGCTAACAATAACAATAGGCCTAATAACAATTAAAATAGCATTACTGATGTTCAACATTAAATAATCTTCAAGGCAACTCTCTTTAAATTTTGTATGCTTATTTATCTCCTGGAACGTTTTAAAATTTTTTAATGAATGTGAAATAAAATGGACTAAGCAATAACAGCAAGTTTTGCCAATGTGTATATCAATATTCTGCTAGTCTTCAATCAAAAAAGTTTTAAAATGTTGGTGCATTATCTAAGTGTTACATTCATGGATTGTAGATAAAGGATATTCTGTTTGTCAGAAGCTAATAAGGAGGTTAATTCATCGGATTAACAAGAAATATTGACAATTCGCTGCTTATTGGGGGGTGACATGTGTTCATTATCAAGAAAATTGAAGGTGCTAGCCTTGTTAAGAGGGTGGTGCTTAATAGAGGTAAATTTGGTAGAAAATTGAATGGGGGTGGGGTGGATTTTCGGTGACCATACTTTTGACTGTTAAGAATCTTTGTGTAAATTAATATTTATGGAAATCTTGAAACAGGACATAAATAATTAAAAATATTTGAAAATGGAAAAATAGCAAGATCATTTTAATGTCACTGTTAAATATGTTACAGTTTTCTTACCTAAAAATGGTTTCTTGATAGATTTGACCATTATCGGAGTTGCTGTACTGCCGATGGTCAATTTGCCATCTATGACTCTAGCTTTATCACCTATAAAATACCATTGTTATATCAATCTATCTATTTATATCATATTGTATGATTATAAACATAATTAATAAGATAGCTTGCAAGGTAATATACCACTGCCCACTGGCAGTACAGTAACAATCAGCAGTATGAAATATTCAACCTTCGGTCATACACTTCTTTTGAACTCTTTAGGGCGATACTGTATAATATTACCAAGTTTCATCAAAATCTGTTAAGAATTGAGCCTTCTGGAATGTTTACAGGCTAAAACATGAACCGTTTTCAAGAACAAGGGCAATAACTCATACTAAGAATATTTCTATTTTTCTGATTTCCAATAGGGCTCATCCTTGGGCAATAACAAACATTCATACCAAGTTTCCTCAAAATCCATCCACAACTGTACCTTCTAGAGTGTTTATGAGCTAAAAATTGAATGCGTTTTTAAGAACAAGGGTAATAACTCATACTTAATACTTTTTGATTATTCTGATTTTCAATAGGATTCATCCTTGGGTGATAACAAACACTCACACCAGGTTTTGTTCAAATCAGTCAAGAATTGTGCCTCCTAACATTTGTGGATGGACAGGCGGCCATGGGTGACACCTATATACGCTCCACATATACACCAGGTTCCAGTTCAGCTCAGATCTCTAATTTTTAGCTCATTTTTTAAAAACTTTCATCCACAATGTGTACTTTTTTTTGTTATTTCCAGCTCCTCCTTACTCAGAGCACAGTCATAGGGAATAATCACCTTTTTTCTTTCTCTGTAGTGTTCTACTGTGCTGAATGTATTTGCTTTTATCAACTACAGCACATGTCTGATGTCTACATACCTTTTGCAAAACATATTCTACCAAATGACAATTCATTTTCATTGATAATACACGATCCAACCTCTGGCTTTAAACCATGTGGTAATTTCTGTAAAAAATTCTTTTTCGTTTCTTCAAAACCATCTTCATTAGAATTATAAGCGGAATTTTGAACACCAGAATTGACAGCTGATGGTGGACGAATGATATCTATGTTTGTCTTTTGCACTAGAATTAAACAAAAATTCATTGCTTGAAGCGGTAATGTTTCACTAAACCTCATTACTATATTAATGCATTAACAAGTGTAAGTGCCAACATTTCATTGGTTGAACATTTTCTAGATCTAGAACTTGGTGTGCATAACAACTTACTCAGATCATGATTAATCAGCATCACTTGAAATGCCTTGGTTCTGATGTGGAACATTCAGGTCCATAACTACATCAAATGTCTCATGCCGAATTTGACAAAATGAAAAAACTTTTTTAAAAACATTGATTAAAAATTGAAAATAGAAATATGATTAATTTGATGTCTATGGGATAGGAGTCTGGTGTTGTCTTGGAGGGCATTACTGACTTCAAAAACAAATGAATTTTTTCCCCATACAAAAAAAAAGGCCTAGTTTCGGTCATGGCATATTAATTGATTTTAACCTGTAACCTTAAGTGTAAGAAAGTTCTAAAACTGAAATACCTACTTTCAGTATAACTGTTAGGTATAGATGTTGCACCAGGGGCTAATATAGACCTTGCAATATTCTTGTTTTTATGTTTCTTCCTTCTACATATACAGCAAATAAATAGGAAAATGGCTATCAATACAAATGCACAAATTCCAACCATAATAAAAACAAAATACTTGGATTGTATAAAATCTCTGTAAGTTATCTTTCCAGCCGGAAACTTATACCTTTCTCCTATATGAACCTGAAATATACAATACATTTCAGGTTATATTGTACACAATGAATAAACAGGGGGAGATAGTTTTGGTAACTATGACAAAATTGGACAGGTAACATTTCTTCATGGAAAATATATTTTTTGGGTGATTTGTCCTGAAAATTTTGGCCACATTCAGCTTATATTCAATAACTGAAAATTCAATTTTTGACAAGGAATTTGAAAAAAGTTGCTATTTCAAAGTGGTTCAACGTATTTAAAGTTACAATTTTGTGAAAAGATTTCTAATATCTCTTTAATTATGAGGTCAATTTGATCCTTCAAATCCATGTTTGAGACACTGCCATATATAGAAAGACATCTATAGAAATAGGAAAAGAAATTCCTAATTTGAGATATTTTTGAAGGAATGATGTGATTTTCGTACATTATTAATACTTCTGAAGACTATTTTCATATATTCAAGACTCAAATCAACCACCAAAAATGGTGCACCTGTCAGTTTATTTTCATTTACAGCATTTTCATTTGATTGAATTTACTGAGAATAATATATTGACAATTGAAAGATTCCTGTGATGTGAAATCTTGTAATATTATTGATATTATATCCTTTTTTAAGAATGAGAAAAATATAAATATATTCTTAAAGGATTGTAGCTAGCATAGAGTCTATGGAGAGATGGATCTCCGAGGGGTCTCAACTATGTGACTCAACAAATCATCGAAATTTTTCAGGGGGGAGGCAGAAAATTTCTCAGGAGGGTGCTGGCTGTATTCTTACCATGATTTTTAATTTAATTTTATTTTTAAATAGAATGTCTTCTGGAGGTTCACAGATAATTTCTGTTTCTTTTATTTCTCCAATTATTTTACATTCTTCACCTTCAATAAGAACCTTAAAATCATCTTTTTCACACACAAAATTTTCACCCTAAAATATAGAATTATTATACACTGCAGGAATGTGATGAAAGAAAGATGATGTCATAACAGTAGTAATAATCACATGGTAAAATTTAGTGATGAGTTTAAAGTTGTCATCATATCGATTCACATTTCTACGCCCCGTAACCCCCCACTATTATATCTTTTATCATTGACTGTGAGCCCTTCTTGACAATTTCGTGGCCCCTTCTAGGCCTCTCAATTTATACAAACACCACTAATCACATCCAATGATACATTTTAACTAAGGAGTAGTATACCATAAAATTTTGTTCCGTTATTTAATGCGATCTCTACCCCTAAATGTCGCTAAAGATACATTTTGTTTCTATGCAAAACAAACCAGAGTTCAGATTTTCATATAAAAAACTTAAATCAGCTTGGCATATAAACATGATTAGTCATATCATGACATGGGTATCTTGCAAAAATTAAAGATAATTTGCCAGGTGAGGAAACATCTACCTACTGGCACCTGGCCTAATATTAACATTCATAGCAACAAACAAACGGAATGACGGACAAAGCGACGGCCATATACATCCACATTTCCATGTGGGCTTATAAAAAGTCTTTTACTAACTACGTGTTTGCACCTGATTGGACAACTGAAGACCAGGAAACAGTAATAGTATCAAAAGAGAGGACACCTCATATTTGGAATTTAACCTTCATTTTCAAACCATAATTACTTATATCTAAAGTTATAATGATTATTCTAGCATAAATTGAACTGTTTTCAACTAAATAATTTGTAGAATAAATATATGCTTACAGTAATTTTGATTGTTTTGGTAAAGGGACGAGTAAAGTCTTCATCCAAGTCATTGTTCACCTTTAGTTTTTCAATGGTAACATTCTGTTGAATACCACATTTTGGACAATCCAGATTTAAATATGTTTCTATCGACTCTATACCATCTAATTTTGGAACAATACATTCTATCTTTTCACCTGAATTTACACTGCAGTTCTAGAAAGATAATACAATAGAAATTTAATTAAGAATTTTTAAACCAAAGATTCTAGATAAATCTGTCATACTCTCAAAATCAGGTTTGAAAGAGTTGAAATATCTAAAAAAAAATATGTTATGAGAAAACTACAAAATAATTCATTTAACAACTTTATTCAAGCAAAGATATTTGTGCTCATATGGGTAGGTTTCAAACCATAATGATAGCTTGTCAGGCCAGGTAACATACGCCCACTACCAGCTGTCAGAAATGACAACAAAGTCTTGAGTGGCTAAAAAATGACCCTTCATGTACCCCCAGTTCTAGGAATCATAATCATATGATATAATATATAATCCACAG